CGCTGGAATCTTTTGATAAGATTACACTTACTGAGAAATAAAATAAAAAGAATGTGAAGTGTTATATTTTAGCACGTTCACAAAATCGAGATGAGACAATTTCGCGCCCAACGCATTCACAATGATTTTCTTGAGTCGGAGATTTACGTATTTCTCGCATCCTATTGGAAATTGCCTGAGAACACGAGAGCTATTTCTGAAGCCCATGGGGAAACGATAAATCTGTGTACTTCCAGTTCAGAAAATTCTTTTTTTTCTATCCTTTCCACACTTTTTGTTATTTGTTTAAATTGAAACATTCTATCATTTATTTCTTCCTACAGCTTTTGAAAATGCTTCAATTGGAAAAAAAGTTTATCGAAAAAAATAATAATAGTCCAATGTTATTAAAAAAGGATTTGTCAAAGTTTAACTGCCAATCGGTAGAGCCCAAAAATCAGTTTACATTCCAAAACTGGCTATTTATTTATTTTTTATTATCTTGATTCAGTCGTAGCTTCTTATTTCTGTGATTAAGTTTTTTTTTGTCACGTTCCTTCAATTATTTAAAAGTGGATTTGGTTGAGTTAGATGGTTATTTATTTTTTTATTTCTTTGTCAGTCAATTATTGCTCCAAAATTGAGGCATTAAATTTCAGTTGAATCAAGTTATATTTACATTGTAAATGAAGAATCTCTTTCGATTTGTGTTACAGGGCATTTAGTTCAGTGCTTGACACCCTTGTAATTTAAATATATTAATGTAGCTTTTAGCCTTAACTTTTCAGAAAGACATTTCTATCCAGTAGTAAATTCAAATATTAATTCAGCAAAAAATAATATATATACTCTTGTGTACCGTTCTTAAAACGCAGAAAAGAGCCTCACAATTGACATACATGTTTATTTGGGGGGAATCACAATTTGTTCTGGACCTTTAATAATTGCAGTAAATTCTCTTCTTACAGGAAATAATTAACACATACGTTCGAAGCAATAATAGCACCGATTTAAAAGTCCCTCAAATATCCAAAACAGAAATTAAGTTTGCAATCATAATTTTACATAAATCAAATGAAACGCAGAGTCACTGTCAAATGTTTGACTTCCCCGTTGCTTTCCTGTATCGTCTTTAAATAGAGTGGATATTATCTTCTAAAAGCTTTTAAAATTTCCTCATCAACTAATTATCTGTGTGGTACTATCTAAATATTAGGACCATGTGTCTTTTTAACCAATGTCGAGGCCTTGTTGATATTTGGCGACTACGTTTATCACCAAAGTCACTCCTCTCCAATATTATTAAAAATTTCTCTCTCTTGCCTTAAAAACCATGTTTTCAGCCACAATACCTTTGAAGTCTTCCGAAAACTTGTTAAAACTACGCCTGGTGATGTGACAGACGTTAACAAGGTCAGAGACTCGTTATTAACTTGCTACCTCTTGCTTAGTGGCTCTGAAATGTTTATAAATTTTTAAACAAATTAGTGAATAAAATAGAGGAATGAAGGGATGTTAGGTCTGTGTTCAAGAAAGATTTTTGCTTAGCTTTAAGAAGGTGGAACTGATATTCAAACACAGAAATACAGTTGAACCCGATGTAACGAACCCTATTCAATGAATTTCGGGATCTAACGGATTTTTGCAAACAAAAGGGAGGCAAAATCCCCTTTTTGACAAATAATAAACCCCGAATTAACGAATTATTTAAACAGTTGAATTTTTTTTTACTAGTATGTATTAGAAGCATTTGGATTTTTTTTTCAAATAATATTCGTTTTGTCCGGAAGAGAAAAAAGGATTTTTTTTGGAAATAGCAAATTTCGATGGGAAAGGGTGCAGGCCATTATTAGACTTTAACCCTTTATCTACCAACGGTACTTATAAGTACCACTCCCATTAAAATTACATAGAATGACCATTTTCTGAATACTCTGATGATACTTAGCAGGAATATTCTTTTAAATCCACTCTTACAAGATATATGGCAGCACGGGTTATATGATGAGTATTTTAGCGGGGAAGGCGAATAGTTTTACAGCAAAAATTGCGTTTTCAGCGGATTGCGAAGATTGTCATTTTTGTTCCGAAAAAATAGTTAATATCAAAAGGTGTCTTAGTTTTTTATATGTTAATGAAGACCTAAGAAAACGATTTGACAATTAATTTTAAGTGAGCAGTGAATAAAATTAATTTTAGAGTTGAATATCTTTTATTAATTAATTAGATCTAGTGGATTAAATTATGTATATCTCTTAATTTTCAATGTAGTGATTTAAAAAAGTATTGCATGGAAAAACTGCAGTAAATCATAATGCAGTAGATAAAGGGTTAAATGTGTGGATGAGTCATGAGTGCATCCAATCGTGTGAGTATTGAATAGGACATGAGAAACTACATTCTTATCTTATCCCACTCCACAAAGCAAGGAATATTTTAAGATTTTAACGACTCTGTTGCATTTGATGAGGAACTAACTATCTGAGCAACCGAAGCTTAGGGAATTGTTGATTTGTCGGAGCCAATCAGTAGCGCTCACAGGAATTCTTCAAGATGCGGCGGAGGAGGTCCAGGGTCGAAATTCCACTATCCTTGTATCATGCTCCTTTTGATTTTGTCGATTTTCGGGAACAAAAAACAGTAAAAAACTAATTATTGAACAAATAATTGGCATTAATTAATAAAATGTATCATTAATAACAAATACTTAATTAAATTTTATGTATTATATACTTAGAATTATATTCAATCGGAAAAAAGGCCTTTGGGGGAGGGGGTCCGGACCCCTAGTGCTTCCCCCTTGGGGGCATCACTGGAGCCAATGAATAGCAATTCTAAAGTAGAAATCGATAATGCAACGCTTTTCAAAACTTTTACTTTTCCTAATGCTTTACATTTTATGGAAACATACCTCATGCAGCAGGATGTAAATGACGTAGTATTTCCTCCTCTGCATAGAGTCGGGGGAAAAACTCTTTCGAGTCAGCAATTAAAAAATTGTGAAACATCTATTAATCAGTATTTTAAAATTTTCAAAAAAATGTTTATAATAATTTCTTAATAGTAATTTTAGTTATTGAATAAAAAGCGTGTAGCTTCTAACTATGGATATATTTCGTGTAATTATTTATATAATTTCTACTCAAAAGGTAAGGGCAAAAAATTTGTATTTTGTTCGGACCCAAATCCGACGAATAAACCCAATTTAACGAACAAAATGCTCGGTCCCGATGAATTCATTATATCGGGGTTCAGCCAGGGGCGTAGCAACCACCGTATCAGCCTTATCAATGATACGGGGCCCCCTCATATATAAGCGAAAAATTATAAAATATTAAATGGGACCCCGAAAAGAGCTCCCAAAGAATTTTTGATACAGGGCCCGCCTAGCTACGCCAGTGGGTTCAGCTGTATATAACTCTTCTTTAAATGTATTTATTCTATGTTACACTTGACTACAGGAGGACTTTATGTGATTAATCATAAATGAAATTTTAATAAACCTCTCGTATATAAATTAGTTTCACATATAAAAATTAAGGTATCTGAACACGTTGAAAATGACCGAATTTGGTCAAGCCAGATATTTTTGTTATTTTATTGAATCGAACTATTTTTTGGCTTTACGAAACATACTTTGTTTTATTTCTACGCTGCCTAGAGATCAAGTTACAATCAGTTTTATAAAGTTAGAAAAACTGGAAGTGGATCTTTGATCTTCCAGAAATCTTCATTTAAATTGCTCAAAATCTATCATGTCGAGTCTGATAACTCAAAATATTACGAATGTATTTCTCTAAAACTTTTGAACTTTATATTTATGTTATTTTCCAGAGAATTTACTACGGCCGCGGTAGCCGAGTGGTATAGGTATCGGACTGTGACTTGCTTTGTCACGGGTTCAAGCCCAGTACCACTAAAGACCCACCGTGTAGGGCAGCGATGCACGTTAAATCTGTCGAGAGCTGAAACGTCCTCCCGTTGGTGTGGTGTGGTAGTTAGGAGAGGGGGTGCCAGCTCAGGTGTCGTCCACGTGACTTGACCATGGTTCAAAATTACGTGGTCCGTCGCCAAAAGCCCTCGTGTAGCTGAACAGCGCGACGTTAATATTCAATCAATCAATCAACCAGAGAATTTACTAAAATAATTCTTATTGTATGAATACTTTTTGAGTTATGGCTTGTTATTTAAATAATGGTCACATATAGAATGTAACATTTCATATAATGTTTACTTAATCAGAGAGAGCAAATTTTAATAAAACATTAAAGTTTTAGTACATTTTCTAGATAAACGCATCTCATTTGTTTTAGTAATACTCTTACTAATACATGTTTATTACATTTTCTCTAACTGCTTTGAAGTTTTTCAAAAACATTGCTAAAATTTCACTTATAATTCTGATTTTTGTACAATTCAGGTAATTTATTTTAAATATTGTGTTATAGTTAAATAGTAGGTCATGGTAGGTTCTTGGTCGTGGACCCTAAAAAAGCATTTATAATGTTTAAATATGTTATTTTGTTAAAAAGTACTCCGAACGTGTTCGGATACCTTAACTACCATTAGGTTAATAAAAAAATTTGAGATGAGACACGTTTATAACAGCAAAGAGTGGGCTTTATCTCGATTGAGCTTATACGATACATTACAAAAGTTTTAGTTCAATAGATTTTATTTGTTTTAAATTTTGTTAGCATTCACTAATTTAAAAATACTGCCATTTTTTTTTTTCTGTAAAGAACGTTAGTGAAATTTATTAATAGATTATGAAGAAAAATTCGGTATACAAAACAAATAACGTCAAATAAATTGGGGGATGGTATTATTTAATGCTTTGAAAAATTTCCACAAGGACGGGTTTTTCCCCCTAAAAGAAAAAAAATGATTGCTATTTCTATTCGATAAGCTTTTACGTCTTATCCGAGATAAGCCGCTTAAAGATGTGGGTTTGGGAAATTATTCGCTTGAAAATTTAGAGAACTGAAATTTTTTAAAAAGTAATTGAAGAGCGATTTGCAGCTCGGTTAGCTTACTCACACACAAGTCGGTAGAGTACGAGACTCATAATCTCGTGGTCGTGGGTTCGATTCCCACGTTGGGCGGATTATTTTATATTGACAAATACAATTTTTTTAGATTAATATTTTTCATTCCTTCATTTTTTATTTAATTTTCAAGGAATTCAAGTTATTATTTTATTTTAATTTCATTATTTTTTTAATTTTATTCATTTATTTTATGATTAAATATTTTAAATAAGTATTACTACTTGAAAAAATTATATATGCTTTTAATGGCTTACTTCATTTATGTAGACGTATTACTCAATAAATATCAGAATAAATATTCAACCAATTTATTTAGTCTTTGAATAATCAATATAAATAAAATATTAGATGTGGTTTAACGTAAACTAACTCATAACTGGTTTAAAGATTTATAATTATTAAATAAATAATATTTATCACCCCTTGTTGAAAAACATTTTAATTTTTACACAAATTTTAGCAAAATTTACAATATTATGTATGATAGCATAGATCAAAATGCGTTCTAAATAATGAATTTTAATTTCATTGATATACTTCTTAATCCATCTGAAGTTTCACAAACCACAGGATAAAAAATATTTTAAGAAATAAGTATTTTATAAGAGAAAGAGAGTATTTAAATTTGACGTTAACGATTTTTTTTCAAAATTGATTTATGCTCTAGGCTAAAAATAACTGTAAAATGTAACTATTATATCAAAACCTGCGTTTAGTTACACTCTAAAGGGTTTATTACACATAAATGTTAAAAATTTCATTGAACTATTTTGGATTGTTTTTGAGATATTCCATTTTTTGCACACAAAATATGTAGCAATTTCATTCTTTAAAAACCATTTTTAAAATATTTATTAATTAGATAAAGGAAATATTAGGAAAACAACTTCACATTCTTCAGTTTTATGTTATTCTTTTTTCTTTCTCAATACTCATATTTGTCGTCCCTCCAGTATAGTGGTTATTGAAGCTGACTGCGGTACCGTAAGGTGTGGGTTCGATTCCCGGTTAAAACATGGATGTTTGGTTGGAATATTTCTCTTCTTTGTGATGTGTGCTTCCCGCTTACTTCTATGTAAGCCCTCGTGTGATACTTTGTGGTACACACGGAGTTATAAATGCTCTCAATAAAAAAAATACTTTGTTTTTTTTTCTTTTTTTCCTAATGGTTTTAGCACCTAACACCTAAAAACCCCCTTTTCCAATCTAGACGGATACTTAAAATACTAAATTCATTCCTGGTTAAAAGTTGGAACAAATGGTTACAGAATAAACAACCCACAAACATTGCACTGTACACATAATATTGCAAACATGAAAAAAATTTATTTCATTTTTTAGTTTTATTTTCGTTTAACGTGAAGGAAATTGTTTCATTTTTAAACTGTATCGAAATGAAAGTAGAAAAATATATGCAGCTAACATATTTTTCTCTTGAACATTTGTAAACACGCGGGGAAAAAGTAACAAATATTCATTGACAAGACTGCGCATGTAAACAAATAAATATAGATCGTGACTGTGAAATTGCATTTTCTGCGTTTGTGAACATTCGAAACCAGTACGCTTTATTTTGATCATATTTTAGATGCCCCATTGTTATTAGATATTCACCTAAGGTCGTATTAGAACCAAAAATGTCCAAGAGCATTCAAAACTTGTTCTATAACGTCTACCTGGAAATAATATCGGTACTCATGGTTTTATTTATTTGTCTTTCCATTTCTGTGAAACATTTCTTATATTTACATTCCTCCGTTTCTAAAACACTTCAAGTTTAAAATATTTGGCATGAAGAAAATGAGAATAGAATTTATTGTTATATAGTTCGCTATTTTGAATTTATATTTTGGGAAGTATTTCTCTTACTGAAATTGGAACTGTTCCCAACCTTCCAAATTAGAATTTGTTGTTTCTGCATTTTGAATTGACTAAAATGGTACTTCGTTATTACTTTTTCAAATATTAATACGGTTTTTATTCACCATTCTTAAATAAGTCAAGATTTTTAAAGCATTCGAATTTATTTAAATAAAATCCAACAGAATGCTTGATGATCTTATTTTTATAAATTTGAACCTCAAACAAAAATTCATTATTTTATAATTTTAATTCACTGCGTGATTATGGTGACTGTTTGGGATCATGATTTTGAAAAAGTGTACAATATTAAGTAATGTTTTTGAAATTTAGTGTCAGGTTAATTAGAATATTCTTAGAACAATTTTATATGTATATTATAACAAGAACAATATTATTTAAATGAAATTTTTCGACAAAAAATTAAGAATGAATGACACAGTTTCAAAACATTTTTCTTTCATGAGAGATGCTTCTATAATAATACTCTGTCTATATAATAAGACTCCTGAATAAAACCCGATCTGTAGTATATTTAAATTTGGATGTGAATTTATTCTTAATTTATTGCATCATTAGAGAAATTTTAACAAATGCCACACTTAATTATGTCAATAAATTGTAACTCAAAAATACGATTTTTTTCAAAAACTTTAGTTCAGTTCTAGCTATACACAGGCAAAATGTTGTTATCGAAGTAAAACTTCTTTACGCACGCTTGACTTGGGGAGTAAGCTGGTGAATGCGTGACAAGAGCGTTACGAAAAGTGTGATTGGGCCCGGCAAACATAGGTTGATATAAGTTGATGAAAATAGAAATTTCAGTCAATAGTTGGTTTGCCAGTTTGCTAGCGTCACGCGAACGATGATTTTTTGATTATTTCGTAATTTCATTTCGTTCTTGAACAATTTTATAAATTAAAATTTTGTTCAATACATTAAATATTCTACGTTTAAATTGAATAAAATTATAAATTCATTTTAAAGTTCATATTTTGGGAACTAGTAACTCCGAACATGGACATTTTATTACGATATATTCGTGAAACTGATATTGGTCAATTATCAATTGATGATGTATTTGCTGCTCACTGTGTTTTGGACGATGAAACAAACATCATAATGGTAGTTGTTTACGTTTCGCCCAATAATACAGTTAATAATATTATAAAATTTTATGTAAAGGACTTATGATTTACGGTAGAGTATAGACTCTGAAGAATTAGGAGAAAATTATGAAAATTATCATAAGTTGCGACTCATTTTAGCAAGAAATTTCAATGTTAATTTCACGTCCGGAGATGGACAACTCTTGGTACACTTTCTACAAGATAAATTAGAACTACAAATGAATAAAGTGAATAATAACCGAAATGATCTTACCACAAGACATGGAACAACAATAGATGCAGTTTTATCTTGAAATCTTTCTAATTTTCAATCGAAAACATATGTATCTTTTTCTCATACCATAAGCCTATTGTTGCGGTCTTACAATCAACCACAGTAATTACTGATGTATCCGACAATGAAAATAATGAATAAGAATAAAAAATCTATTAAAAATATTAATTTATCGAAGAAAACCCATAATAAATTTAAATATTTGTAGAAATATATATATATATATATATATATATATATATATATATATATATATATATATATATATATATATGTATATATATATATGTCAGGCCCCAGGCCTGCTGGTAAAATGAGGAGGGCATCATCTCAATAAGAATGTCTTTATTTCGCTTCAATCACATAAAATCCAACATGGCGGCCATTTGGTGCGCAACCGGGGAGAATAATAAACAACAATTCTGCGAGGAGTCACCAGCTAAGCCTTTTCGAATATGCGTTCTCCTTCGGCAACGAAGCTGGACATCATTGGGAAACTGGAACGCGAAGCGTTCCTCCGTTCCATACTGGTGTATTTGGGCTCTGACGTTGATGGGCCTTGATTAAATTCTGCTTGGGTGAAAATACTGGGCATATGGCTCGCGAAATTAAATTCTCCTCGCTCGCTTTACCTATAAATAGGCTTATTTACCCACAAATCTTTACGCGATGGTAAAGAGTTCGCTCTATTTTCATTTATTACTTACCTAATTTTGAACCTGACATATATATATATATAAACATACACACACACACACACACACACATATATATATATATATATATATATATATATATATATATATATATATATATATATATAAAGAAATATGTATTATACATCAAAAATAAGAAATAATAGATAAAGAACATAACAAGAAATAGCATAATAAAAATATAAAACCTGAACATGAAGAACAAAATTATAGAGAAATAAAAAAGAAACTACAAAAAAGAACCTAGCGAGTCAGAAAGCAATTTCGGACTTAGGACCGAATAAGTGGGGTTAAACTAGTTTGAAGGCGCCAACCTTCCCCCTTTGCAACTCGGTAGGAAAACCAAATAAAATAAAATAAACAAAACTTCAGAGTTTGGATAACTCAGAGTATGAAAAAACCACTCATTACTATTATGTAACAAACTCTCCCAAACTCTTAATGCAGAAAAATCACAAAACATTCTCCTTTTATGAAAAATAATTCTATAAAAATTATTCTATAGAATTATTTTTAATAAAAGGAGAATGTTTTGGATATACTTAATTTTTGATTCTTTTCTTGCCAAAAAATTGCTTTTAAGTCACAGTTTTTGAAGCTGTGCGACACCCCCTCCCCTCCCTTAACTGTATGAAGTGATAACTGTATGAAGGGGATAGAGTATACTGAAAAGTTGAAAACATTACATTTTTTAAAAAAATATTAATATACCGAAAGGAAGAAGGAATAAATAAAAGCAAATATTCTGAAATAAGAAAATCCTTCGGAAACATTGTCAAGGTCCTTTTTATGCATTCCAAAGCCTTCGGAAACGTTTTTTGGTAGCAGTGCACAGAAAAAGATTATACTTCAGAATGATGTATACATACGTCTGGAGCAATTAACGCTTTTGCTGAGTGATACGTCTACATACGCCGGTAGCAGGTAAGAGATTTAATTCGTTTTGTAGCCTTAGCGTCAAAGCATAGTATTATTGAATTCAATACATTGCTTTTGTGTGGAAGTAGGGCGCAAACAAAAATTATGATGGAATATTGGGTAGCAAATATTGAAAGTTTGAGAAGCACTGTTTTA